TATATGTATATATACATATATTATATATATGTATATTATATATATGTATATTATATGTATGTATATTATATATATATATATATATATTATATAATATATATATATATATGTATATATATACATACATACATACATACATACATACATACTACATACATACATACATACATACATACATACGTACACACATACATACATACACACACATACATACATATTTACATACATACATACATACACATACATATTATATACAAATTTATATATACATATATACATATATACATATTTATATATACATATATACATATATACATATATTTATTGTATACATATATACATATACACACAACCACACACACACAACCACACAACACACCACACACGCACAACCACACACACACAACCACACTCACACAACCACACACACACAACCACACACACACAACCACACACACACAACCACACACACAACCACACACACACACAACCACACACACACACACAACCACACACACACACACACAACCACACACACAACCACACACACAACCACACACACAACCACACACACACACACACAACCACACACACACACAACCACACACACACACAACCACACACACACACAACCACACACACAACCACACACAACCACACACACACACACAACCACATACACACAACCACACACACACACAACCACATACACAACCACACACACACACAACCACACACACACACAACCACATACACACAACTACACACACACAACCACATACACACAACCACATTACACACAACACACACACACAACCACACACACACAACACACACAACAACCACACACACACAACCACACACACACAACCACACACACAATCACACACACACATCACACACACACAATCCCACACACACAATCCCACACACACAATCCCACACACACACACAACCACACACACACACAACCACACACACACACAACCACACACACACAACCACACACACACACAACCACACACACACACACAACCACACACACACACCACACACACCACAACCACACACACACACAACCACACACACACACAACCACACACACACACACACAACCACACACACACACACACAACCACACACACACACAACCACACACACACATAACCACACACACACACACACACACAACCACACACACAACCACACACACACACACAACCACACACACACACAACCACACACACACACACAACCACACACACACAACCACACACACACACACACACAACCACACACACAACCACACACACACACAACCACACACACACACACACAACCACACATACACACACACAACCACACACATACACCACAACCACACACACACACACCACAACCACACACACACACACACAACCACACACACACACACACAACCACACACACACCACACAACCACACCACACACACACACAACCACACACACACACACACACAACCACACACACACACACACAACCACACACAACCACACACACACACACACACACACAACCACACACACACATACAACCACACACACACACACAACCACACACACACACACACAACCACACACACACACACCACCACACACACACACACAACCACACACACACACACACACAACCACACACACACGCAACCACACACACACACACAACCACACACACACACACAACCACACACACACACACACAACCACACACACACACACACAACCACACACAACCACCCACACACAACCACCCACACACACACAACCACCCACACACACACACAACCACCCACACCACACAACCACCCACACACACACACACAACCACACACACACACAACCACACACACACACAACCACACACACACACAACCACACACACACACAACCACACACACACACAACCACACACACACACAACCACACACACACAACCACACACACACACAACCACGCACACACACACAACCACACACACACCACACAACCACACACACACACAACCACACACACACACAACCACACACACACACACAACCACACACACACACAACCACACACACACACAACCACACACACACACACAACCACACACACACACAACCACACACACACACAACCACACACACACACACAACCACACACACACACAACCACACACACACACAACCACACACACACACACAACCACACACACACACAACCACACACACACAACCACACACACACACACCACACACACACACACACACACACACAACAACCACACACACACACACACACACACACACACACACACACAACCACACACACACACAACCACAACACACACACACACACACACACACACACACACACACACACACACACACACACACACACACACACACACACACACAACCACACACACACACAACCACACACACACACAACCACACACACACAACCACACACACGCACAACCACACACACACAACCACACACACATACACAACCACACACACACACACATACACAACCACACACACACACAACCACACACACACACAACCACACACACACAACCACACACACATACACAACCACACACACAACCACAACCACACACACACAACCACACACACACAACCACAACCACACACACAACACAACCACACACACAACCACAACCACACACACAACCACAACCACACACACACAACCACAACCACACACACAACCCCCCCCCACACACACACAACCCCCACACACACACACAACCCCCCCCACACACACACAACCCCCCCCCCCCCACACACACACAACCCCCCCCCCACACACACACACAACCCCACACACACACACAACCCCACACACACACACAACCCCACACACACACACAACCCCACACACACACACAACCCCACACACACACACACAACCCCCCCACACACACACAACCCACCCCCCCACACACACACACACACAACCACACACACACACCACACACACACACACACACACACACACACACACACACACACACACACACACACACACACACAACCACACACACACACACACACACACACACACACACACACACACACACACCACACACACACACACACACACACACACACAACCACACACACACACACAACAACCACACACACACACACAACCACACACACACACACACAACCACACACACACACACACACAACCACACACACACACACAACCACACACACACACACAACCACACACACACAACAACCACACACACACACACACAACCACACACACACAACCACACACACACACACACAACCACACACACACACACACAACCACACACACACACACAACACCACACACACACACAACCACACACACACACACAACCACACACACACACACACACACACACACACACACACACACACACACACACACACACACACACACACACACACACACACACACAACCACACACACACACACACACACACACACACACACACACACAACCACACCACACACACACAACTACACACACACACACAACACACACACAACCACACACACACACACACACACACACACACACACACACACACACACACATACACACACACACACACACACACACACACACACACACACACACACACACACACACACACACACACACACACAAACACACACACACAAACACACACACACAGATATATATTAGTTTATATAAATTATATTTGATGTATATTGATATGCCAAGAAATTATGAGAATTTAGTGAGTGACCAATTGTATGAAACTACAAATGCTGCTCTAGCTTAACCCAGTGCCGCAGGAAAGTTTTGTGTTCACTGTAGTACTGTTCTGTCTGATGGCTCTACACATAGATGGCTCTGCCAGTGCTTAGCCACAAAAGAGTCATTTAGTATACCTCATGACCATCTAATTGCTCCTTTAGAGGAGTAAAGGGGAAAAATGTTTTTTTATCTAAACCTGTTGATAATTACTTTTATCATGAACATCATAATTACTGTATTGTTATTAACATTACTAACAGCAATGTTATAAAAAATCAAGGAAAATGATAAACAGGGCTTCTTAATTTTCAAGTTATAACAAAGTATTTGTAAATAAGTTTTATACGAGTTACACAAAGGGTGTTAGTCTGTTCCAGTAAAAAGGAATTATGGTGACCTATAGCTTTATACTTTGTATTGAATTTTTGTTGAGAATGTATTTCCCCATTAATCTCTTAGATCTGCAGTTCCTTCAGGTTGTCAGTCCCAATGGTCACAATTAGTTTGATTTTTCAAGTTTCAGCAAAGCAGATTTTAAGAGCATGATTTTATTTACAGAATAGATATATATAACTGTCATGTGTCATATTTATGCTGGACAAAGGTGTCATTCCCAAAATAGAAAATGTGTGTTGTAGAGGGGGATATGGGGGAGGAAGAGATGAGGTATTTGGCTGGATGAAATGCACAGTACAGCACCAAAATTACAGATTTACATTTGCTTAGATGTAGGATTGTTTGGTGGGTATGTTTAGGGGCATTGTGGCTGTGTACTAAATTTATTATTTGATACTACTTGCATTTTATAGTATAAAAGAAGCTGAAAATTGACTGGGCAGTTTTTTGTGCAATATAGTGCAGAGTCATGTCACATAGAATTTCTAGGATTTAAGAAACACTATGGTTGTTATATTGAAGTTATGAATTTCATTTACTTTTGCAGACCTGCTCTCTTAAGAAGTGGAGTTTCCCAAGATCTTCTGCTTGGACGTTGGAGACTGACCCTAGAGCTGTTTGGTAGAGTCTTCATAGATGATGTTGGAGCTGAACCAGGCTCTATCATTGCCCAGCTAGGAGGATTCCCAGTCAAAGAAGCCAAATTTAGACGGGAAATGGAAAAGTTGAGAAATTGCCAGCAGCGTGATTTGAATCTGACAAAGGTAAGTTCATCTTTCCTTTACCAACTGCATTTGAATATCATTTTTATTTCACTTCATTCTATACCATTGCTCTAAATGGAAGTGTTTCCCATTGATCCAGAAGCTAGGTGTTACTTGAATGTGTGAAGTCCATGCAAGCACTGAGATACGTTTAGTTATATTTGTATGTTTGCAGAGTTTACTTTTTTCTTCTTTTTTCATTATTGATGAATTTAGTGAATATCAATAGTGAAATTCAAATTTGAATTGTTTAGGCAATGATTTTAAGGGGGATTTATCTACCACTAACATTATCTAACTAAGATTACTATATATAAAAGATTAACATGTCCACATTTTTTGCTTCATTTCATTAAATGCACAGAGACTGATATTTCTTTTTTTATTTTCACTAAGGAACATTTTCCCAGGCATATGATAAAGGATTTTACTTAAAGCTGATAAACAACTAATTATTTTATAATTTATACACATTCTGAATACATGTATCATTTGTATATTGTCTTTGTTTCCAAAATAATTATAGTTACCTGTTCCAACCAGATCGACCGTGAGAGAGGACAGTTGATCACCCAGACATTCAAGGAACTCAACACTCAGTACAACAACTATCACCGTCGAGGAACACAGTCATCACCACCCTTGGCTGTTAACCGAGTTAAAGTGACATTCCGTGATGAGCCAGGGGAAGGCTCTGGTGTTGCTAGATCATTTTACACAGCCATTGCAGAGGCCCTGTTGTCAGGGGAGAAACTCCCGAGCCTGGAATCTTGCCAGGTGAGGCCAAAAGAAGTATGTTACCTGCTCATTATGTTCCTTAGGCTTGTAACTTAACCAACATTTTGTGCATGTTTTTATTTCTTTCCATTTAAGATAGATGTCAATTTACCCTTTTTATCTGTTTTAATATTCATTAAAAAATGCTTTTACTAGTCTTTTGTTTGATGTAATGCCTCTTTTGATATTTACTAATTTCATCTCTGTTCTATATTTTCTTTAACCTTGATAGTAATTCTCAAAGACTAGGTAATATTTATGTGTGCTTCTTAAATTTTATACCTTTTGGTTGACAGGTTTAAGAGCGATAGATTATTTTCTGCACTGATTTTCATTACTTTCTTCTATTTATTTATTTATTTATTTATTTATTTGTCCTCTGAAAAGGCCCTTTATGAGGAAGTTGACAAATATTTTTCATTGATATTACTTGCTTTTCAGGTTGGATTGCCTGTAGTTCGGTATAGTCTATATGGTCAGTACAAGGGGCGAGACAGAGATCGTCGCCAGGGAGCCTCGTCATCAAGGTCATTGCAGAGAAGAGATGCCCGCAAGACGCTCTCTGTAGATGCGCGACCCTTCTACATGACGGGCGAGGGCAGTAGTAATGAACACTTACCATCAAATATGCTACAGATTGGTGAAGCCTTGTTCCCAAAGGTGCAGAGTCTTAGACCAGTAAGTAATACTCATTATTATTATTATTATTTATTATTATTATTATTTGATTTTATTTATTATTTTTTTTTTAAGTCACTGAGTACTTTTTATAAATCTGAGTAAGTTACATAAGTTCAGCAGAAATATAACTATTGAAAATTTTCAGTCTTTGGCAAGCAAGATCACAGGGATGCTTCTAGAACTGACACATGCTCAGTTGCTCCTTCTGTCTGCAAGCGAAGATGCCCTGCGCCAGAAAGTAGACGAGGCAGTGGATCTTATCCTTGCTCAGGGTCGTGACCACACACCAGAATATTCTCCATCCCATCAAGGCAAGTTCTTTTTTCTAAGAAATGGTTTAGTGTGTTAATTAGATGCCCTAATAAGCGAAAATGATTGCTTTTTACTTATTTCCACACCATTTTGGGCTTGCATGGTAGTGAAATTACTAATTTGGACTGTGCTTCCAGATACAGATGAAGGTGGGGAGGAACCTGAGGATGCAAGTGCTCCCCTTTCTACCAGCCAGGGAAAAGAGGATTCTACTCTCCTCGCCAGGGTCGCCCAACTCCCGAGAGACTTAATGCCTTCCGCAATGTTGGCAGGTACAGTACATTATTTCTCAAGTTGTTGTGATCAATGACATGCATGTTGTTCCTATTTATATTTATTATTATTATTATTATTATTAGTTTTTTTTACTTATATATTTTTTCTCCACACCAACAGGTTACTTGGGTTATGCCTGTTGCAGAATGAATTGTGCCCAATCTACCTAAACCGCCATGTCCTCAAGTACATCCTAGGACGCCCCATTCGTTTCCATGACTTGGTTTTTTGACCCTGTCATGTATGAAAGCTTGCGAAAGCTGGTGCTGGATGCAGAGAACAAAGACACCGGAGCTGATGTGTTCAAAGCTCTGGACCTTACCTTCAGGTGATTTTTGTTATTGGTTTTCAGATGTTTATCTTTGTCGTCATTGTCATCAAATACACCATAATCATATACATCATGATCATCAATCATCATCCATCATCCATCATCATCAGTCACCATCAGTCATCATCATCATCATGGCATTTGTATAAACATTCTTTATTTTGATTGTGGTTTGTTTAACTGCCCCTTTCCCATTCACATACACATACACATACACATCAACAAGTGCCTAGTCACTAAGGAGTCAAATACTAAGACTACCTATCTCACCTGCTAACCTCATTTTCTTGATTTTTGGAAACATTCTCTTTTATCTTGTATTGTTATTAGTAATGTTCACTGCATTAACCCATCAACTGAGGTATTAGATATTGGCTAGTGGACAGCAATGTGGATTAGTGGCACTCAGTTGGTAGTTTCCTGTTTGCATCTGGCTCCCTTGGTATTTCAAGCACAATGATAGTTACCTAATAACTTGTAGTTGTATTTTATAAACAAAATTATGAAAAGTGAACCTTTCCCTTCTCTCAAAGTGCCTGTATCAAATATTGACGCCAAACGAATGATGTTGCTACTTTTGAGTTCCCTCTTGATGAAATAATGACTTGGGGTTTGTTGTTATTTAGTGTCATCTGCAACTAGGTCCACCGTAGCCATTGTGGGATTTTGTTGCCTTTGAGACCAAAGGATTAACAGTTATAATGTCTTTGATAATAATAACAGCATTGATATTGATAACTTTAGTAAAGAAAAATATCTGAACACGCAAGGGAAGGAGAAATCAGGTGAGATCATGAGTTCTACTAATTGACTCCCTAGTGGCTGACCACCTGTGGAGCCATCTACAAGTATAGATATTTCACAAAACAAACTACAATGAACATTACATTTTCCCAATGGCAGGTAGTAAGCTTAATCATTAATCCACAATTGACAAAGATGAATAATGTGTTCTTTCTATTTTTCAGCATTGATGTAATTCCTGAAGAAGGTGGCACAAATATAGAACTGATTAGTGGTGGCAGAAATGTGGAGGTGACAACAGCTAATGTATATGACTATGTCCGCAAGTATGCAGAGTATCGCATGGTAAAATCTGAAGAGAAGGCCCTACAGGTATGACATTCACTGTAATTTAATTTTTGTTCTTTGCTAATTTGATCTGAATTTCATGGAGATTTTGCATGATGGACATATTGATAAATGAGCTGGGGTTAGAATGGAAGCCATAACTTAGGATTATTGCATATAATACTGAACAAGTATATACTATTCAAGTATCCATAATAGTGTATTGATAAATTCTTTGGGACATATGTTATGAAGTAAACCTCCTGTTGCAGAATATTCGTGATGGTGTATTCGATGTAATCCCAGGAGGATCCCTAGATTCCCTAACAGCTGAAGACCTGAGGCTGTTGTTAAATGGGGTTGGGGACATCAATGTAGCTACACTTATATCCTATACGTCTTTCAATGATGAGAGTGCGGAATCATCAGACCGTCTTCACAAGTTCAAACGGTGGCTATGGTCTATAGTTGAGAAAATGACAAACCAGGAAAAGCAGGACTTGGTATGTATATTTTTATTATGGTATTTTTAAACTTACTTTTAGCATTCTCTATGATTCCTTTTTAGCCAAATGTTATTTTCGATTACTATTTAGTCATAGTAATATTTGTAAGTGGTGAATGTCTTTTATTGATGCTTTCAGTATACCATTTGATATATAATACAATATATCCTTTAACAGTAATGTACTAAGCACAATTTTCCCTTGATCACAGGTATACTTCTGGACCGGTTCTCCTGCTCTGCCCGCCTCAGAAGAAGGATTCCAGCCAATGCCATCTGTCACTATCAGACCAGCTGACGACTCGCATCTACCTACAGCAAACACTTGCATTAGCCGCCTATATATTCCTTTGTATTCTACTCGTGCTATTTTGCGATCTAAACTGTTGTTAGCCATCAAGACTAAAAACTTTGGCTTTGTGTGAGTGTAACCCAAGAAGCTTAAAATTTGTGGCAGACTTTGAACCATGTTGAATTATAATAAAGCAGTTAGTGACTAATGAACGTCTAAGGGAACATGAATTGTGTATGGTGACTGCAAGCGAGACAGATGGAGTCGAGTGAGCAAATAAACAAGATGATTTTGGGAGTGCTGGTCATATGGCATAGGAATTTGAAAATTCTTTGGCTTACTAGTGTTGTGCCTGTACGAAAGAACTATTATTTTGTGTGATTGGAATCTGTGGCCTCCAGGTTTGGCTGGCTAGACTTAAATCTTGTGTGCATTCCCTGATTTCAAATAAATGAAATTCATATTCAGCTATTTGAAATGATGTGAAAAATAGTTTCCTTAAAAGCTATTATCTGGTTATTGTTAAAGTGTGTAAGCAGTGTGTATTGAAATAAAAAAAAGAAGAAATTCCATTGTTGTACAATAGCCAAGTAGATATGAGTAAAATCTTGACCAGCTTCCTTTGTGTATCTTTCCTTGTTTCCCAGAAAATCAAACAAAAATGTACATGCACCAAGTAAGGACATAGAGTATGAACTTCCAAATTTCCATCACATTTAATCAGTTAACATGCTCAGTGCACGATAAAGCTGATGATCC